GTAAAAACGTTATGATTAAAAAACTTTTTCACCCAGCTAAGCAGAAGCTAAGAAAAAAAAAGTGAACAATCCCTTAACAAAAAGTAGTACATTTGAAGTTCATTTTTGCAAGTACTTTAAGTTAAGTATAAGTATATCAAGTATACTACACACCATACTTGTAGTGTACTAAAAAGTATACTGATTTAATACTTGTTTGGACTAAATTGGGACATTTTTATACAATTTTTAAGTATATCAAATAAAGTTTATAAAAAAAAGTCAACTTCAAGTACACTTCCTCATTTTTAGTGTAAAATAAGTACACTTAAATAAACTTCTTTTTGCTAAAGGATGGTATAGGTTACAGAATAAAGCAAATGTAAGACAAACCTCTGCAAATTAAACAATGTCACACTTTTTATTTTAAATATGCCACAAATGATAAAAACTAAAAAAAAAAACCAACATTTTATCTCATGACATTGATCTATGTGACCCCAAGTTTGATCTGTTTTGAAAAAGAGTCATGTTTCTAGTGTTAGCAACTTTACAGCATGTGCTAAAATAACAGAAAAACTGTCTTGGTCGTGTTTTTAGAGCATTAAAAGGACTTCAAGCTCCCTGTAGACAACTATCATGGCTATAGTTCAAATGATATGTCAAAGAAATTACAGTACAACTCATCCAAAGACCAGTGATGGTTCAGTTCTACAGGCCTGTTTTATCAGGACATGATAGGTGAATAAATTAAAGAATTGAAACTTATTTATGATGTGGTGCAGTTGATAACCGTTTGTGATCATCCAATTTCAAGGCCATTATACAAACGGTTAATGACCCCATAGATACAGAAATGTCCAGTTCTGTGTTGGTACCATGTTCATATGTGTTAATTGGCCTTTTTTGCATAATTAAAACACACACTGTACTCAAACACTTGACAAACAAAGATAACAATGATGAAAGAAAACACCTCAAAACATTTACTGCATGTCTAATATTGTTTATGGCAATTTGGAGATAATTTTAATTTATTTCTACTTCCTACATGCTGGAGAATTCCATTCATCCACTTAAAATGTCTTCACTCACAAAATGAGATCTGTAACCTAAAACACTTTTAAAATGCCTTTAGGTTGCCGGATTGAATCCCGGCCAAGGGGCTGTTCTGAGTGGAGTTTGCATGTTCTCTCTGTGCATGCGTGGGTTTTCTCCGTGTACTCCAGGTTCCTCCCACAGAGCAAAAACATGCATGTTAGGCTGATTGGTAACTCTAAATTGTCTCTAGGTGTGAGTGAGAGAGTGAATGGTTGTTTGTCTTGTTTGTTTCTATGTGTCCCTGAGACTGTTCAGGGTGTCCCCACCTCTCATACAGTGACTGCTGGATGTGGGCACCAGTGACACCCATGACCCGAAAAGGAAGAAGTGGGTAAAAATAATGGATGAATGGATCTTGCACACCATAAGGTAGTGCAAAGAGACTATAGTAGATACAAATATTCCCTACTGATGTACTTTGTAAGCTGAAACTAAAAAAGACAAAACATCCATCCATCCATCCATCCAGTCATCCATTTATCTTTTAGCCTCTTCTTCCTTTTCAGGTCCCGGGGGGTCACAAGATCACTTTAGAAAATAATATTTAGCACATTTTTTCTGCACTGTACTCAATACACCCTTCAAAGTTTTACTTCAAATCAAGAGATGGCACAATAAGTCATCAAGGTGTGCACAAAAGTTTGATGTCACAATCCAAACTTCTATCTTGTGCATTCATAAACCTGTTCTTTTGCTGAACTTTTTTTCATATATTTAAACATGGTTTCCATAAAATACAGTATTTAATAACGTTGGCAGTTCAAACAATAAGTGCTCAAAAACCACACGCATCACAAGACAAGACTGTTTCGTTGATTTCTACTGAGGAACTCTGACTCTTTGTTTTTTGTGCAGGAAGTGCGGGAAAATAAAATATGATGGTGATAATGATCAAAACTCTGCCCGTTGGGTGTTTTGTCACCAAACAGTGACCTCAGATTAAAAGATCCTCTCTTGCCTCTTTGACTCCTCAGAGCTCGTGTAATGAGTCCTTTTTGTAACGCTATTTACCCAAGGATGCTGTTTATTGACCGTTCTTCTAACAAGCAAATCTTTTACTGTTTGA